GGGTATTATGTCTTTGTGCATTTGTTTGTATCATGGAGAAGCAAGTTAATCAAATTTGGAGAAATCGGTTCAGATATAGCTAAGGCTCCCATATATGTGTTTCATCCGACGTAGGGTTTTAGGTCTCTCATATGCGTAATATACACTCCAGAAGAATGATATTTGGTACCGGACATCAGATATTGCTCGAAAATACCTCTGTCATCTGTCATGATTTTCGAGATCGGTTCAGATTAGTATATAGCTTTATCCGATATCAGGTTTATCGTGCATCAAATGGCTTATATCAGCCCAAATGGACTGAATTTTGGTATTTAAGACTGAATTCATAATATAAACCTGTACCTCAAATTTGGTGTAAATGAATGAAAGCAAACAATTTCGGAATTAGCATCAAATTTTAGAATAAGTTTAGATTTGTTCGAATTGGTCACCTTTGGCACGAATTATGACCTTCAAACGGCCAATGAAACCGTCACATGCTGCCCGAATGTTGCTCTGCGGTATTTTGGTTCATTCCCGGCGAAGCGCTTGCTTGTGTGTCGATCACACATTGGTATTTTTTAGTGCCAACCTTGCTTTCCAAAACACCCTGGACGTAATAGTCCAACGGATCGGTATCTGGAGATTTTGGTGGCCATTGTGCGCTGGCATTTACTCTGATGTGGCGGCATTTACTCTGATGCCACGGTCGATTAATACGAGCGGAGAGCGACCATCTGTTATGGCGGTCCCCACCATCACCACGGCCGGCGCTTGAGTTATGGTGGCCAACCGAAGGTGAACATTTTTAGCTGACCTCTTTGGCAAGTAAACACGATAATTTTGATTGTTTACAAACTGCTGGACAACGAATGTTTTCTCATCGGAGCTCTTTTGAGTCTCTTTTCTTTCTGTTGCGGTGTAAGTTCTTACACTTTTTGGAATTTCAATGGCTTCGCCCCGAGCCCATTTTTCAATATTTGCCAAATGGAATATTGTGATATGTTCAGCTCACTAGCCATTTTCGGCCACTGCGACGTGGGCTTCGATCAAGTCGCTTCTTTACCTTTCGAACCATTTCAGCTGATTTTGCTGAAGTTGGTTGCAGTTTTTCATCTCACCCTGTATGTATGTTTTATCCGATTTGGGGTATAAATTCCCTCACAAGCGTGATATGCATTTCACAACAATGATCTTCTGTGTCAGATCTCAAATACAGCTCTGAAATAGGTGTATAAAATTTTATCAAGATAGGTTCAGATTTGGATATAGCTCCTATACAAATCCGCAACCGATTTCGGGTTAATTGTGCACCAAATGGCTAATATCAGCCCAAATGGACTGAATTTCGGCATATCCGACCGAATTCAGTCTAGACGTAAGTACATTAAATTGGAAAATCGGTTCAGATATAGCTATAGCTCCCATATATATTTTTCATCTGATCCTCACATTCATCTGATCCTCACATTCGTAACATGCACTCGACAACAATGATATTTGGTACCAGTTATCAGGTACAGCCCAGATATACCTCTAACAAATTTTATCAAGATCGGTTCAGATTTGGATATAAGTCCCATATATATCTTCAACCGAATTCGTTTAATTTGTGCACCATATGGTCAATTTCAGTCCAAAAGTCCTGAATTTTGGTACATCAGTCTAGAAGCAAGTACATCAAATTTGGAAGAAATGGAGTGAATTTCGGGATGTACGTTTCCATTTTGTGAAACTCGGCTCCGGTATATATATTTCTACACTCCACCATAGTATGGAGGGTATATTAAATTTGTCATTCCGTTTGTAACACCTCGAAATACACATTTTAGACCCCACAAAGTATAAATATTCTTGATCAGCATAAAATTCTATGTCGATTTAGCGATGTCCGTCTATCACGAATTGAAGTAGATTGATAAAATTTTGCTCTAATGTATGTTATGTCTGCAGGACTTTTGGTATTGAAAATTGGCCATATTGGTCCACGTTTTGGTATAGCCCCGATATAACGGTACCTCCCGATATACGGTGTTTTGATGATTTTAGCGACACTATTCACCGGAATAGTTTCAAATTTGGTATTTGAAGTTCGTAATGGATACTACAGCCTAAGACAGAAAATTGTCTGTGCAGGTCCACGTCCTCGCATGGCCCCCATATCTCCCGATATTTGGAATTTTAATTTTATCGGCATTATAACCGATTTTTTTTAAGTTTCGCATTTTGAATATTGTAATGGCTTATGACAAATGTTACCTACGCAGGTTTATGTCGTCGTATAGACCCTAATATAATAGCTACATTCGGTATTTTTAAGATTTTAACAGAATTTTTAACGGATTTTTTGTTTTTGGGAATTGCCAACTTCGTTCCAAATGTTTAATATAATCCTTCTCCAAGTAATATCATGCACTCTATAGCAAACTACAATTGCTTTAAAGCCAAATGTTAATAAGTGGTATTATCTACTTGAAATAAATTCTTTTGTTATGCAGAGCGGTGTAGGGTATTATAT